TAGTTTTACCAAGTTATAACTTAATGAATGCAAAGATTAGCAGAAAACTAAACTAGGTGAATATATAAAATCCCGGTAGAGTAACAGTTGAAAAGATTATATGAAATTTTAAGGAAAAAATAATCTTTTTCACAAGTAATAAAACACAAATCTATCACTAGTTTTGTCAGCCCTTTCAATCTTATCAGTCGTTATCATCATACATCCACAAATTAGTACCCGCTAAATTTGAATTCGTATGTCAAAATTTCTCGTAAATTGTAATACTTTTGATAAAATCTATAGAAAATTTGATTTCAATGCTAAAAAATCAATCGAATAGAATTACTAAATGTGTTGGTAACGAATATTAAGTATTATTATTACTAAATCAACTGATTACGTGTAGATCGGATGAATTAAATTAGAATGAATTTTGTTTGAACATTGAATTAAATCGTCAAATTCTTCAAAAGCAAACAATGCTAAATTTTGCTTTGAGAATTTTGCAGAAAGATGAATAAATAATCTCTCGAGAGAGAATACCACTTTTCTCTTCAAAAGCAAATCTCTCCCAACAGTTAATGCAATATTTTATTGAGGTAACAAGCAGAATTAGATTAACTTTAAATTCTAAACGAACAATTTCTATTTTTCGGAAACTTCTGAACTATTACTCTTAGAAGATTAAATCGTGTTTCGCTAATGTTATTTCATTTCAGGTGAATTAGACACAACAATTCTTTACAGAAAGAGGTAAAGGTAAATGTAGATTGATTGTTGAAATTTCTTTAATCAGCAAAAAAGAGATGAAAAGACTGCAACAAAAAAAAAATAAAATGAATCGACGGATCAATATTTTTGTGCTTGAACAAAAAAAGGGAAACGAATATGATAGTCATTTGCCAAAATTGAAACGAATTAAAATCGAGAGAAAATGAAGTGAATTGAATCGATTTGATCAATATGATCAAGAATGAATAGTGAATCAATGATGATTTGAAGCGATGTGTCATACATTTACCATTAAACAGTCGATATTAATGGGACAAAATGCAAAAATCAATGGCGGAAAATAGTTTTATTTGAAGCAAAACAAAAGTGAGTGAACAGAATGAATGTCATTTGTGCAATACAAAGAACAAAAATCAAACGAATGTAAATTTATAGAAAGTTTTTTTCTATTAAATTCAAAAAGCGAGAAATTTCGTTATGAATTTATTTACACACATCCCAACGTCATGTAAATTACATTGGATTTCAATTTTATTGGTAAATTCTGATCAATAATCAATTGAACTGTTTAATTGTATTCTTATCTCTGTGTCCAATGTGAACACATATTAGGAAGATCCTTTCTATTTATCTTTCATATTTATCATATTTCTCTTTCTCATGTTCCTTTTCAATACTTTGATTAATGTTAAAACTTAGCAATTAAATTCATGCGTGGACTCGGACAAAGAATGCTGTAAATATGACATGTGATATGACAATTTGATATGACAATTTGATATGACAATTTGCAAAAAGCTCTTATCGTTACAATCCCTATCACTACAAAGTTCGAAAAATGGAATTTTTTAGGTTGAATAGAGTGAATCTTTTGTGCCTTTGGGCGTTTTTTAAAAACATCTCTCTGTCCGATCTTCATGACTAAAAGAATTGATTCTTTCGTTCCAATCGGGAGGCAATTTTCCTTCTTTCACCTGAAACACTGCGGGAAGTGTCGAAGTAAAGAGGTGATCATCGAATTACTGATAAAATCAGGGTCAATTGTCAGGTCTTTCTATAATTGCATTCATATAAAATACATCATTATTTGAGTGAGTGCTAGAATGATTATAATTTTTCAAAACGGCAGCCAAAAACATAAATGGTTTAAGCATCTCTTTTATGGAATGAAAATAATTTAAAGTGATGAGTCCAACTATCAGAAAGAGTTCAAGAACAAAATGAGAAAAAAACCTACTTAAATGTATTGTTCCATCATTTTGATGCATGGAATGATTTCAGGATTCCTTTTTTTCAAATCAAATTACTTTTTCGGGACTTTTTCTTGATCATTTCATTATGAAATTTACTATTTGTTATGAAATTTTTTTTAAATATGTTTTTGACAAAAAACTGGATTTCATCAACCAATAACGCATAACACATTATTTCTTTGGAAATGTTAACAAAGGATGGGATAAAATGCAAATAATCCAAATGATTATATAATGTCAGTTTGATAGGAAGCAAAAGCAGTCAGCGAAAATTCATTTTTGTTAATTATTTTGAATTGTGGTGGAGAAACCATTCGAACTATTTGGTATATATATGTGTGTGCAATTCTGAATGCTATCGAAATAAAGTTTAAAAAAAAAGTAAAAAATTTCATTTAATTATACATTTTCCTTAGCGAGAAGGAATGTAAATAACTTAAGAACGAAAAAAAAAACATTCGTTTTCCTTTTTTTTCCTGAACAAGTTATGGTACTATTGTTAGTGGTACCACAAATTTGTAATGTATATAAAAAAGAAGATAGAAATGGATGATTCAACAAGTAGCCTCTTTATTATCTCACTTGTAAGCAAATTTTGATAGGAATAAGTGAAGACTTGTTTTCTTATTGAAGAGCTAAAAGCAAGTAATAAATGCATATTTAGGATATCCAATATAATAAGAATTTTTCAATAATTGAATTGAAATCCGAAAAATAATTGAAAAATTAGAGTATGAAGCGAAAAAAAATAAGAAGTGTAAGGAATTTGAATTAATTTCAAAGATAATTATCTAACAGAATTCACTCAAAAATTCAATAAAACTGACTTAAAACCAACAAAAGAGGCAAAACAAAAAAAAGCTGCATTTGTTTTACAAATGTGAAAAGCGCTTGATCAAGTAAGCAGTGAGTGCAGTATGGAAATTTAAAAGAGACGAATAATTCAAAGGAGGTATCGAATTTTAGAAAAATTTAATTTCTTATCATCATTATTCTTTATCCGTGCTAAATTCATTCAATATTTTGTTTGTTGTAAAAATTAACATTTCCAATTAGCCGAAATTTTCAGTACGGAAAAATTTCCTTAAACTTTCTTCCTCTCTAAATTGTAAGTCTTCACTTTTTTAATCTTCTCGAAATATATGAAATTGAGTTAAGCGAAATGGATTCGATTGTTTCATCGATTAAATGAATTAAAAACGAAAGGAATTTTTAAAATCGGTTGAAGTTTAAAATATTTAAAGAATAATAAAAAAGATGAAGTGAAAATGGTATCTATCTGTTTTACACTTTTGCTTCTTCCTTTTTTTAGCTTGAAAATTAACGAATTCCTATAGCATTATTAGTGATTGTCACTTTTTAATAGAAATTGAAATCAAGAATATTGAGAATGACAATAGGATCATTTTGACAAAGAGAGGAAAATGTATGATAATTTGTTGCTGATTTGCTCCACTTTAATTTTTTTAATTTAAAATTAAAATAGGATTTCTTGCATTGAAGGTGCAGTATGACAAATGATAGAGTGAATTCATTTTTTCTGCTTCATTTCCTAATGAATTAATTTATAGTGGCACTTTTTCGACAGGAACAATCTTTGCTATAACTTTGCTCAAATTTCATTTACTTAAATCACACTTCCTTCTTGCTTTTCAAGTAATTCTTTATTAATTTTTTATTGTATAAAAGAATTGAACGTGGCTAACATGATTCTGGTAGATAGCGAAATTGAATTTATGAATTTTTTTTCTCATAAAAATATTTTGTTTTAACTTTTGAAAATGTTTTTCTGACGGTTACTGAAATTTGCACCAAGCTTTTGCTGAAGAAATTTAGGAAAACAATACAAACATAAATTAGGATGATTTGTTGATTAAAATCAAACAATTGCTCCCCGACCGAATTTTTTTTTTAAATTCTCATTTTCTTTTTTTTTTAAAATGAAATTGATATTGATAAGTTGCGTAACAAACAAATTGCAATATGAATAAATGAAATCAAAGAGACATTAGCACATAAATATGAAATATTTATTGTTTTTAATTAGTTAAAAGCAGTGTTAATGTTTATATCCAAACAACGATTTCAAGATCTTTGAACTCTAGCCGTGTCATAATTACATCGCATTCAGGTGTCGTAATGTTCAGCTGAACACGCTCAATCTGATTTTACTAGTGTGTTTTGCAACTTTAGGTTTTTACTTAGCTAAATATTTTGACAATTCAATTATTTCTTTTCACGCTGATAACTGAGAGGGATATGAGTGATTTGATTGATATTCTGCCTTTTCACTTTAAGAGCACTTAATATACACATTTCAGATCAATGAATTTTGAGCTCTTCAAAGTTTCATCGGTTCCATAAACCAATAGCAAGATGGAAAAAAACACTATCTTACACAGCCATTCATCCAACTGTATAATAGACTATTAACGGTATCGTTTGATCTGAAATAATTTATGCAACCTTAATTTCATACAAATTATTTTCTATAAATTACTTTTGTCGTACCGCGAATATTATTTCCATTCGTGTAATTCTCTCTGATATTCTTAATTTTTAACCTTTTTTCTTTTCATTGCCTTTTGTAAAAATATATGAAAGGTCTGAAAAAAAAAAGTGTTGTGATATGTCTGAAAAGTTGAGCGATGCAAAATTTGGAATTACATCTAATAGCAATAAAAACAAATAAAAGAAGATTTATCAATCCAAATTAAATTAATCATTTATCGGATTTGCTTTTTTTTATGTAACAAAGTGATGCTGCTTTCGCATGTGAACTAATGAATGAGAAACAGTTGTTTATATGAAATATACATTAGCAATTAATCAATTATTAATCTTCCCATCTTCCAGCTCTTAGCACTTTCCTTCCCCTCGCATCCTTATATTTCTACTTCTTTCCTGACAGATCTCCAGCACTTTGTTGCAACTTCTTATTTACAACCTTTCCGATATGCTCTTTACTTTAAAAACTGGAAAGGTGAAAGGTCGAAGGTCGATCGTCATCATTAAGTTTGAGAACTTCGCACGCTATAACTCATCACGTGCTTTCGTGAAAACAATGAGAGAATCGATTGCAGTGGTGAAGTTGGGAAGATCATGGCAGTGATCTGCAAATTTCATACTATTTACATTTAAAAAATTCAAATGAAAAATCAAAATTGAGTACAACAAAAATAAGAATTGTGATTTTTTAATTCGAAATAACATTGATCAAAATTTATGGTTTATAAGAAATAAATAAATCGATACCCAAAAGAACTTTTCTTCCGTGAAAGTTGAGTATTTGATATGAATGGTATTAAACCTGTTGTTGAGCCCTCACTTGAATGGGACGATGGCGTCCCACAGCAGGATTTTCTCCTCACACTTCTCGATATTCGTTGCCTACAGGTGTATACTTCTTTTAATTTTTAATGTTAGTAGTATGGATAAAAGTTTTCTGACAGAAATTTCAGTTGTTGTGAGAAACGATGCAAAATTTCTGTTAGAAAAAAAGTGAGTTTGAATATTTTAAATGGGAATCAAAATAGTTTAGTGTATGATAGAATTACAATCATGAAAGGAGAAAGGAGTATTTTAGGAAATGATCAACTGATCTGGAAGACAATTCAACTTTATGGCTGATAGATGGAAAAAAAAGCATTAAGACAATGCTTACCATTTTGGTTTCCATTTTGAGGCTGAATCGACTGGTAGCTTTAATGGAGCATATGTTATCTGACTGGAAGCAATTGATGGACAGGTACTCGCAGAATCATGACTAACTATAAGCGGAGCGCACGCTTCCGTAAATTCAATATCAACGAAGGCATCAGATAATATACTGTCTACATCAAAAGCATTTGAAAGTGATTCAATCGATTGATGGATGATATCTGATTGAATAGTCGATGAATCTCGTGAATCTGTATCAAATACATATACAGTACTCTTTCTTCATAATAATATCAGCTTTTATTAATCATTATGATTAAGAGTTAATTTAGTTACCGCGAGAAAAATGCATATCCTCTTCAAAGGTAGCAATATTTGCAGGTCGTAAAATATTGGTTTGCGTGGTAGCATGATGTTTATGAGGTGTCGGATCACTAACTTGACCCATAAACTGTTCTAGTTTCGAGCTCCTCATAAATTTACTAAACAACATTGATCTAAAAAAGAAATTATTAGTGATAAAGAAATCGTTCACATAATTCAAGTTATGTATTGAAAAGAAATAGTGATAAACATTAAAAAACACTTTATAGGAAAGTTGCTTTATTTGTGCCTTTTGTCATCTCTTTGCAACTTTTAGACTTTTACACAAACCGATAGATAATGAATCAATACATGAATACTCATTCATCACAAAGTTTTTTTCAAAATTTTTTCCAGTTTCAATCACAGAAAGTTTGACTGAAAGTTAGAAGTTTGGTAATCGTAACAATTGGATTCATTTTCTTTCGAATGGTAATAACAGTTGAATTTACTCTCTTTCAGATAATCATAACAATTGGATTCACTTTCTTTCTATTAATCTTGACGACTTGTTCTACTTTCTTTCGGATAAGTGTGATAATTTAGATGTATTTCATTTAATGTCAAATTATCTATTGACTACTTTAATTCTGGCATGAGCGGATACATTGAATTGGAAAGTGGTTTGCTATGAAAACTAGGATTTTATAGGTTACTGTCATTACAATTCACTTAATTAGGCTACAAAAACTGCGTTATTAGCATCGTTAATAGTGAGATTTTGATTGATACTTTTTGTTACATTTATATAAACTTACTGAAAATCATCATTTGGGGTATAAAAGTTCGCTTTTTCCAATGCTTGTACAGTACGAATAGCTGGACTGTGCTTCCACAGGTAATCGATTAAGTCACCGCTTCGGAGTGTCGGTTTCGAGCGCACTTCTTCCGAACTGATTCTACACGTTCCTGCTAAAAATATGATTAATAAATAAGTTAAAATTTTTAGAAAAAAAATTCTAAGCACTTAGGAATTTTTTTTAGTTTTCATTTCATTCTGCTAAAAAAAGGACATGAACTATCGAGGCAAGCATTAATTTCTATAAGAAAAAACTCACGTTTTTGTTGTTGTTCCTGTGATTGACTCTGAAATGGAACAGATATCTCTGATTCTGAGTCGATATCAGAATTCATTTCAGCAAGCTGTGATTCGATCATATTATTTGCGACACGCTCCGCAATCCATTCTTTAAATCGATTTGGCAAACTCCGCATAGATTTATATTGTTTATCCAATGGAACGGTTAACAAACCACCTGAAATAAAACATGTTACATGTAGCATTTACCTATCAAACCTCATGAAAAATTGAAGTTATTTGGAAACTTTACGAAAATTTTCGATATTCACTTCAAAAGAGAAAAAAGATGCCAAAGCTGCGACAGATGGCAGAAAATTGACCCGCCAATAACGATATTGCCACAAAAATCAACAAATAATCAAAAATCAACCGATAATCTTAATGATTTCATAATACTCATTAATTACTATTATCATTAACCTAGCATAAAATAATAACGATTCAGAACAATTTTGTTATTGTTACATGCGAAACTCTTACTAGCTACTCCAACTTCGAAGGATGAAACTTTGGACTCAAAATCGGTTCCATTCTTTGCAATAGCTGCTACCCGTTCGATTTCATCAATATATTCCTGTAGGAGTTGTGCGAGAATTCTTTCTAATGCTACCTAAAAATAAAGAGCTTGATAGGATATTTTTAAAATGAAACATTACTCTCAAATTATTAGCTAGAAAAAGTAAACTAAAATGCAAAATGAAAAATTTGCAAATTTTTATAAAAATTTGATTAATGTTCTCTATGACATTATATTGCTATTAAAATATTCAAATTTTAATGACAAGAAAAAAACAGCGAAAGTTAGATGGTGAACTAAATTTTCTACCGAAGTAATTTTTACATTTTTTCTAAAAATAAATAATAAAATTTTTTAAATTTCAAAAAAAGGAATTTATAAAAATGATTTTCAATTGATCAAATTTCTGTGACTTTCGTTGACTGACTTGAATAAGGTCGACGCACATTGACAGTAAGGCAAGTCCGATGAGGATTAATAGGAAATAGCCGAGCATCATATCCTTATTGCCTGGAACAATATCGCCCAGGCCAACTGTGCTAAAAAATATAATCTGTTTAGTTTTCCAATTATTCTCGTGCAAAATTGTTCAGTGATTTATAATCGAAAATTTTTAGCAATGTTGCAAAATTTCAAAATTTTGAAAATTCTTCTTTAAATATAAAAAATCGGATAAAAAAAGATTCATGTAATCTATAATGCATGCAAAATACCTTATGGAGACGAAGAAAAAGTAGACTGAGGTAAGGTAGCCCCATTCAGGCTCATACAGGCAAAATAAAGCTGCTGAAAAGCCAATCCAGAGGATAAGCAACGCTAAGGCGATCGGAATCGAAAATGCATTTTGAGTACTGAAATGTTAACAACTTCCAATTAATTTCTTTTCTTAATGATCAAATTTTAATAATTAAATATTTGAAAGGTAAAATTTGAAAGTCTTACAATTTTTTTGTGCTTTTCTGAATGCGAGTGCCAACTTCTGGATCTAAATCAACTTCTTTTACAGGTAATGAATGAACACATCCCGTCGTAGATGGCAAATAATTATGATTATATAATGTCTAAAAAAAGTTGAATTCTTCATTTTTCAAAAATAAGAGAGTTTCTCTCACTTCAATTTAAAAGTTTAAAAATCAGCGAATCAAAACCCGAGCAAAACACTATGATTTTCTTATAGTGATAGTTTGAAAAATTCAAAAACAAAACGAATAAAAAGCTAACCTTCATTGAGGCGCTTATCTTCTTCACATTGCCGACAACTTTTTTTCCGGTACTTCGTGACCGTTTATAACATTTACGAAAAGTTCGCGACAGTAATCGACCAACATGTTTGAGGATGATTAAAAAAATTGGAATGCCGAACATAATATAAAATATACTGGCAATTTGGCCAGCAAGAGTTTTTGCAACCGGTAATCCATAGCCTACAAATATAAACTATAAAATAATGGAGAAAAAAACGAAAAAGTAAAGGAAAGGAGGAAAGTGGAATTTTTGATTTAAAAAAGTGAAGTGTGAGTAAAAAGCTAAATATAGAAGCTGATCGAACGTGAAATGATTTCGTTACACAACTCTCAACTGACATGACGTCATCACTCTTCAATGATCTCGCGCTGTTCACAAAAATATAAATTTATTGTTTTTGTCACTTCAACAAATCCCAAAATAATGTTATGCATACTGTACCGATTGTTGTATACAGCTGTCCGGCATAGAACATCGAACCGTACCACGACCACGGACTGCTTGCATTCCGTTCGCGGATAACATCTGTCAAATTTGTGTAATCAAGAAACCAATTTACCGCTTCCTCTGTATACCTCACTTGTAAATTTTTATCATATCTAATCACGCTATCATCGCACCGTAGCTCCAATATTCGTTTTGTTATCTATGAAATGCAACATGTTCTTGTCACTGTTAAGAATAACAATGTGGAAGCTCTGAATATCAAGATTAAAATCCAAATCATATGACAGCTGATATGACGTTTATCTGCTTTTTTCTTTAACTTCAGTTCAGTTGTCAACAAGCGAAATGTTTTTTTTTTTTATACATGATAATAAGAGTTTCAAATTTCACCTGATCAAAAGCATAATTATAGTTTTGACGAAATAGTTCTCTTTCATGTAAATCAAGTTCCAATTCAAGGTTACGAAAAATGGCAGCGCCAATTAATGTATATGAGATCAATATAGCAAATGGTAATAGAGCATTTAAGTGAAATTTCTGATAAACCTGTTGTAAGTAATGAAATATTTTATGCATTTCGTGCTATCCATTGAAAGGCCTCACGTAGCCCTATAACAATAACGTTTCGAATTACTCAAACAATGAGAGTTATGGCACACTTTTTTAGTTTTTGATTCACTCGAAATCTATCAATATTTGTTTTGAAATTGCTAAAATAAGTTATCATTTCTATCAATAAATAAATCAGAAAAAAATGACGGAATAAAGTAAAACACCAATTAGGACGTGCAATATTATTAATTGAAAATTAAAATGATTCACGCATTTTAAGTTGAAGAAACAAAAAATTACAATGTGATTATTAACCAAAAGTGAATTGTTGAAGAAATAAATTGAAGATGCTCAGCTTATTCAAATTTTAAACATAATTTAAAATATAATAATTTTACACAAGGATTGCTAATGAATTTACCTATTCAAGCACACAAAAAAACATTTAAGAAAAAGATGAAAAATTTTTCTGGCAATAAAGTAAACTTCAATTCTCAAATACTCCGGCTACCGCCTATCAAAATCTTCAATTCTAAAAAAAACAAGTTTAAACAGAAGTTTTTAAATTATTTTTATATTTTTAACATTGCGTCAGGAAAGAGCTTTGCTTGGAGAACATAATCTATCATTCGTTAGCATTTTCGACGAATAGACATTGACTGAAAAAAATCTTAAAAGTTTAAAGAAGAAAAGAAGTAAATTTTTATCTAGTGACAACGAATTAAACATTCCATCAGTAACATAATCAATCAGAATTTTCAGACTATAAAAGATTTGAACATTGATTAAAAATTAGTGAAAAAAATCAACTAATTTAAAATAAATGTCAACAAGATTGCATATGTGATAGTAAAACATAAAGCTCTCTTTTAAGCAAATCAAAACATCGATGCATTTATCGAAGGAACGTATGTTCCCGAAACATATTCCAAGAGCACTAGAAAGGATAGATTGCATCAAATAATTTTACAATACTGGTTGACCTCGGGGTCAGTTTTAGTATGAAAAGAAGAGAAAACTGTATTATTTCTTTCTTCGAAATGAAATAATCATTCATTATTATTAATGATCATATTAAGAGTGATAATAGAAAAAAAAGCTATGAGAACTTTTTGCGTTTTGTCGAAATGATATATATCAATGAGTTTATACTCTCTGTTGCAATTAAATTCTTCATTTAAAAAAAAAAAATACTTGTCAACAGGCAACACGATGTGAAGAGATGTCATGTTGTGATCTGTTGATTAAGTAAGCTATTATTTTTTTTGTGCGAGAAGAAAGAGAAGAGAGAAAAAAAAAACAGTACATTGCATTTGTAGATTTATTTAATTAATTATTGTTAGCTTTCTGAGCAATGAATTTCACTGACAACAAATGATTCATTTATTAGCACTTCGAATCACTAAATCCTTATCATCATTATACAAAATGTTTCAGTGATTGAAAATGTGAATAATCATTGCTAAATATTTTCATCTAACAGAAAATATACTTTTACTATCGATAGAATTTAGGATCGTGACTAGAACTAGAATTAAAGTTTTCGTAATCAATCAAATCTACCAGCATTTGCATTTTGACAATTACGTGAAACAGATGTCAGCTAAAATTTATATTGTCCAGAACTACTAGCAAATAATTAAGTTTAAACTAAAATCAATTTTGTGATGTTTTCGAATTCTGAAATAAATTCATGTCTTTTTTGAGTTGACAATTTCTGCAATTGTCATTTAAGAATAGCAATAATAATTAAGATATTCTAATTTTTATTTAAAATTACTGCTTCTGGCTAGTGCATCAGCACTTTTTTTGATGTGAATCGGTGGCGCATCTTTTGCCATGAAGCAGTGTACTGACGCATCGTTTGACGCAAGACAGTGCACTAACGCAGCATTTGACGAAGGCAATGCACTAACGCACCATTTGTCGTAAGGCAGTGCACTAACGCACCATTTGTCGTAAGGCAGTGCACTAACGCACCATTTGTCGTAAGGCAGTGCACTAACGCACCATTTGTCGTAAGGCAGTGCACTAGCATCTTTTGACGTAGATAAAACTATTGCATTCATCATTTTCCCGTCATTGCTCAAACGAAACAAACATTTTTGATATGCGCCGAATGATGTGTTTAATTTATTATGATTGCATTTGCCAGTCCAATAAGCTATACTGACCGTTTATAAGCCATTTCTTAAATCCATAACTTTTTTTTACGCTTCCTCTGTTGATAGCCAATTAAATTAGATTGCCAACTAGTGCGATTGTGATTTAAGAACAGCAATAATAATTAGGATATTCCAATCTTATTATTTATTATTATTACTATTAATATATATTATTATTATTTATTATTGAAAAAGTTCCATTCGTCTGTTTAGTTTAAGTTTTCACATCGAATATTAAAAGTGTTATCTTTAAATGACTGTATTATTAAAGACTTCAACATCAATCGCTGCTCATCAAAATTAAAAAAAATTACACATGCTTCAAAATTAATAAATGTCAATTTTTACAGTGTTAATCAAATTTAATGGTACATTCTTAAACAATAAACAATTTAGTTATTTATGTTTAAAATCATTAAATAAAATTATCCAAAAAAGAAACAATGGTGAAAAGGAAATTTTTAGTAAAACATTCTTTTCCTCAAAGCTTTTTCCTGGAATATATTCTTTGAAATTAAAACTTTTCATTAAAATTAAATTTTTGTCAAAACATATGTGGTTAATAAGAATTCATTTGAAATCAATGATTTTGAGTTAATCAAACGTTTTCCGTGACGTGATTGTGAAAAAAAAATTAAACTAAACTAAACAAGAAGAAACCTAAAATTGGTTTCTATGAAATTCACATTTAAAATATCCCAGCGAGCAGGAAAATTTTTAAAAATAATAAGTATAAAGCAAAAAGACAAGCTTAAACTAAGTAACTCAATATATGTGTTATTTATTCAGCAATAAAATATTTTATAAATTACTAAAAAAGCATTGATAAGATGCTAAAAACAGCAAAGTTTAGAAAAATGAATCTATAAAATGTATATCGCATTCACAGGATTTCTTTGAGTTTGCTTTAAAAAAACTCAGCGATTTTTTAAAGTAATTTCATTTAAACTGTAAAATTGTCAGCTCCAACATTAATGCTGGTCAATGGCATTTTGTCATGATTTTTAAAATAGCACTAAACATAAAGCTAACCAAACGCTTTAAAATAACACTACTTTGCCCTATATACATGATCTATGTCTAATAAAAATTTACTTATATGTGAAGTTGTTGAATCGCTAATTCCAATTAATTCTACTTCTTCATTTTGTATAAGCTTTAAAATAAAAGAAAAAAGTAATAAATAGTAACATTGTAGTGCATCAGCCAATTCAAAAATTAAATATGCATGTTGGAAATTCGAATTTTCTATGAAAATGCTAACACGAAAAAATGCAAGGAAAGCAAACAGGAAACGGAAAAAAAAGCTTTAAGAATTCCAAATAGAGACATTCCGAAAAAAAAGAATTTTCAGAAAAAGATAGCTTTCATTTTATTGTAAATCGTAAACCTGCCACAGCTGGGAAAAATTGTGCGAAATATATGAAAAGTTTCCGGTTCAAAAAACAATATTTAATCGAATTTTTAATAAATGCATTTGCAATAAAAGTAGGTTTTCAGTTCTGAAATGATTTAAATTTATAATAAAATGTATGCGATAATTTCTAATTTGATGGGACTAAAAAGCAATAAAATTGGACAGAAAGCGAAGAAAAATTAATGCTGCCATAGACAATTTATAAAGATTCCACTTTTTTTGATGATTCCCTTGCCAAGTAATTAGACAAGCTGTCACAATTAGCAAAAAAAACGAAATATAAATAAGCTTCTGAATGGCTTAGTAAGCAGAGTGTGTAATTTTAATGAAATGGAAATTGAAGCTTAATACATTAACATTAAATCGCTTTTATCGAATAAAACTATCATCTCTCTATTATCAATTATGACTATTAAGTGGATGAAATCTAAAATAAGCTGCAAAAATAAATTTATGTGTTAAATTTATGTTGTATGCATTAAGCTATTTTTATAGCAAAATGAAACAAAAATTCGAAGATTTTCAAAACATAAAAATTGGATATATATATATATCATGTCATTGTGTATTCAAAATAAGACTTCGAGATAATATCATATCATATTTATTCGATTCTCTTTTATCACCCAAATAAATAACTTAAAAATAATTCAAATATGATAAAATGCATCAAAAATGGAAGAAATATTTATTTCCCATTATAGCTCCATAATTTTTTGCAAAAAATTTTGAACAAATTCAATGGCAAAATATTTTCAACGACATGAAATTAGTAGAACATTTTAAAATAAAAATTTCGCTATTTTATAAGTTCCAATTAGAACGATCAAATTTCAATTCAGATCAACTTAATAAGTGATATCGCAAGTTTCTAAGTTTTTAAATATGCATAAATTTGATAAAAGATATAAAAGTTCATTGATTTAAGCTTTTGTATTTTTTGGCAAATTCTTATTGAAGTTCTTATTAAAGGAACTTCCTTTAATTCTCATTAAAAGCTCATTAAAAGTTCATTAGAGCTCAAAATCAGAAATTTTGCAAATAAATAATCTTATCATTATATAATCAAAAAATTAGGTAGCCAATGAATCATGAAGTTTTTACAATAACATTTAAGCATTAGGATGATAATATAAGCACTGGAAAAAAATAACTATCGTTAAATAATATTATGAAATCCTCTTCCTGATCAGGTTATTATTTTACAATAGCTTAAGTTTAGCAAATGATCATATTTTCATTCTCGACTAACTAAAAAAAATTACTGTATATACATCTTTTTGTGAGAACATCATCACAGGGGTGCTATTAATTTTGTATAAATGATAAATTATTTCAGCTGAAAGGAGGAATTTAAAGTGTGGATGAAGCGTATTGCACGCACATTAATCTTAATTAATCAATGGAGCAAATTTTTAATTACGTGGCTATCATCTTTGAAAAACATATCAGTTGTACTTCTTTGTGGCAAATTTTAGTTAATGAATGATCAGTTACGAAAGTACAATCATTGCGGAAATTTTTTTTTTTGAATCATGAATTAGCTTTCAATAAAATAGCAAAGATATAATCATTCCGTGCTAGATGAAAAATTTCAAAATAATTGATGTTTGTATGAGCTCTAAAAAAAAGCTAATTTACAACTTTCTAAATCGATAGATTGCAATAAGATAAAAATTTCGAAAGCAATTAATGCTTCTTTTCCTGATTTTTTTTATAGCCTTTTGAGCAACTGAATAGAAGAAAACAAAATTGATCTTTATTTTGTGAATAAATAGAAAAACTAAAATATTTTGAAATAAACAACTTTTTTGCTAGTAACAAGTAAATTAACAATAAAGATGAAGCAATTAATGATTAATGAGATTTGAATAAGAAAATGAAGGGAAAAATGAACGGATGGCACTTACAATATTTTATTAAAAAATGCGCGCTAAAAAGTTAGGCTTAATTTGATATTCGACAAGAGTATTCAAGTGTCTTATCACCAAACTGAATTTCAAGCAAAAAAAAAATGAATGGATGGGACTTAAAACATTTTATTAAGAAATGCGCGTTAAAAAGTTAGGCTTAATTTGATTTTGACAAGAGTTTATCATAAAAATCAAAGCAGAATTTATTTCAAAATGTTAAATTTTATACAGTTTTGCAGAAATAATTTCGTATTGCATTTAGTGAAGTGGTATTTAGTGTTTTAAAATCACTGTTTGGTTTGGATGCATTTGTTGTAGCTGTCTCTTTATCGTAAATATTTCCTTTTCAATTATGTAGCATTCATTCTTCTTCAATCATTGCCAAACATTCTCAGATTTCAATTTCAAAGAATGAAGCCGAAAGTGATCTATTTCCGTAATCTCTTAACGACTGCTTTAAATCCCATTATTTGATGTTCAAATTATTTCATCTTCTTATCTTTATGTTGTATAATGAATTCTCAAAGCAACACTGTAAAAATTTTTATATTACTAAAAAACACCAACGTTAATTCCATGTATTCCTCTGAACTACAAAATCCATAAAAAATCACATACAAATATCAAAATATTTCAATTTCAAAAATATTATTTGTATTTTCAGAACTTTGCTGAAAAAAATGTCATGTTCGTTTATTAATATGACGTTAATCATACAATCATACAGCAATTAAATACAAGATGCCATCATAGAGAACATCACAAACACGTCAGCTGCGCTACTGCTAACCTCCTTTTTTTGAAATCCTCTTTTTAAAATTTCCGCTTTTAGTATCTTTTACTATCACTGTACCAGGAAATATCTAAATAAATGATTACATATGTCAATAAGCCCTGATTACATCCCACAGTGATATGGAATGTAATTAAATATTGGTATTTTATTTTACAATTTATTCCTATTTTTACAACAAAAGTTACAAATCAAAGAATAGCCCACTTTCGATCTTTCAGTTAAATGACAAAAAAACTATCCACAGGTAAAATGATCAGTAATAACTAAAAGGTAATCTGAAAAAACTAAGTCCTCTGCTAATAACATATATATAGTCTATTTTTCATTCAAGAAAATTAGAGGGTAGTTGAAGGCTACTAATAAGCAGCCTTTGGAATTTTTAACCAATTCAATATCCAATTTTGTGAAGCAAGAAAAGGAGGAATCCTAAATGCTTTTCATGGAGAGAATGGGAAAAAAGTACCATTGAGCAAGGTTCTCAAAACATTTTCTGCCAAATACTTTCCCTGATTTTTCAAATAACATTGCAATATTACCATTCATAATTTTCAAGCACGTTGCCGTAGGCAGAAATTACCCTTTTATGAAAATTGAAAAGCACTTCATTCCATCTACAATTATTGCAACACACATAAACACTCATAAACAACTCATTGAATTTCATATTCCAGTTTCTATTCCACTTCCATTAATTTTATAAATTAAATTTATAACAAAGTATTTTGCTTTACTTTGTCTTTTTTATTATGATCAATAACAATAAA